GCTAATATTCATTGCTAATGTTCGAATATATTAGTGTTGAATGCGATGTGAAAATAGAAATAGAAATGATGAGGTTTGCTGTTCAACATATGACTCATACTATAGGTTTAACTATCTTCTTTGGCTTTTTTAGAGTGATGGATACTTCATATAGTGATATACTTAAAATCTGTGTACCACTGTTACTGATGCTGAAGGCATAAAAGAAACAGGTACCAATTATTTCTTTAGAATTTTAGATATTTTACTAACTGAGAAATTCTTGCTGGTTGTGGAGGCCCATGCCTGGAAGGGTAGCACTTGGAGGCTGAGGCAGGAGGACTGCTGTGAGCTGGAAGCCAATCTGAGCTAGCCAGTGAGTTCAGGGTCAGCCCAGGCTACAAAGAGAGACTCTGTCTCAAAAGAAAAAAAAAAAAAATTATAGATAATTTAACATTAGATTAATTATAACTCTGAATGTGGCAGTAGAAGTCAAGAGAAACTTTGTTGTCTGTATCTCTAGGAAAATCCTCCCAGAAGATTTTATTTAGCAAAAGCTACTTGAAAAAATTCAAAGCTAGAGATGTCTAGGCCACAGCAAAATGAATTCCACTTGTTGAGTTTGTTCTTTTTCATTTGTTTGAATTTTGATTCACCACTAAATTTGAGATTTGAAGAGACTCTAATTTTTATCATTAATACTAAAATTAAAGCATAAGTTGGAAATTGTGTTCTATGTTGGCTGAAGCACACAGAAAAAAAGTGTTGTGATTTCGATGCAGGGGAAAATGTAACTCTCAATCTGCTTGATGTCAGATACTCCAAGTTTGTGTCTCCCGAAATCAAAGAGTACATTTTAAGGAACAATGCAGGGACTGGGATTTGATTCCCAGTGTGCCATGCCAGCCCCGTCCCCAGTGTGGGCTGAGATGATTGAGACTGGGTGTGGTGACGCACGCCCAGAATCCCAGTGCTTGGGAGGCTGAAAATGGGAAGATCACTGCGAGTCTGATCTGTGTAGGAAGATCCTGTACTAAATACATTTTTTAAAAAATTAAGGAACAACTTAAGAGTAGGAAAGATTTATTGCAAGTGAGCTCCTGAGAGACAGAAGGGGACTCGAGTGGGTTACTGCTGAGGCAACTTTTCTAAGAATGTTTTACAGAGCAAAGTCACAAGGTAGTAGAGAATCACGAGGTGAGCACAACGTAGGCCAAGCTGTGTTCAGCCAGTAAGATTACAAGTGAGCCTCTTAGCTAAGAGTGAGCCAACAGGGAAGTGAGCCGTGTGGCAGGGGTACCTGGAAAGACGCTCGTGGATGTTCTGGTCATCCACCTGGGTGGCTGATGTCTGTCTAGACTTTCCTGGATCAGGTGATGCCTGTTACAGCAGAATCTCAAGTTACCGCTTATCTGCAGGGAAGTGCATAGGCCTCATTATCCCATCTTTGTCTTGACCTGGCCTTTGCCGGGTGTGGCTCCAGCCACAGTTGTGATGTGTCTGCATCTTCTACACTGACTTCCTCAAAAGGGTAGCCCTGGCTGACTGCCTATAATATTTTTACCTAATTTAGCTGTGTTCTGGGCCAGGGAGATGGCTCAGTGGAATAAATGCTTCCTGGAAAGCACAAGGGCCTGCGTTCAATCCCCAGTTCCAGAAAAAAAAAAAAAAAAAAAAAAAATTCCTAATTTAGCCGCGTATAATCTGAATGTTTGTGTCAACTATAAAGTTCTTATACTGAAATAGTCAAGTGAAGATGATGGCATTGAGAGAGGAGCCCCTGGGCGTAACTAAGCTATGAAGGTGGTGCCCACATGAATGGGATTAGTGCCCTACAGAGGCCCGAGAGAGCTAGCTGCCCCCCTTCCACTGCTAGGGCCGAGCAAGAAGGCACTGTCTGCAAACCAGAAAGCCCCTCCAGGCCCTGGTTCTGCCAGCAGCTTGACCTTTGATTTTCCAGTCTTCAGAACTATATAAAAAAGTAAATTTCGGTTACTTATAATCTACCTATCTTAGGTCATCTTGTTATAACAACCAGAGCAGACTAGACACTATATGGAAACAACAGATTGTTTCATAAACGAAGGTGTGAGTCGTAGGAAAACCTAGCGGATCCCACACTTGAAGTCTAACAACGGTGCAGCCTTACCGCTGAATTGGTTTGGGGCTCCCTCTAGTGGTTCAGCGCAGCGGCTTTTACTTAGCTCGTTCCGAACTACCAA